CCCCAAAACCCCAAAACCCCAAAACCCCATGTGGGTAAATTTCTCAATATTTTGAGTTTAAATAATGGTCTGATTATCAATTTTCAAAAATCTAAAATAAAAGAAATTAACAAAAAGGGATTTATAAAATATTATATTAGAATCACACACACTAGTATTTAAAGCTTAAATAATTGTCAGATAATAATAATAACAGAATATTTTCAGACTAAGATGAATAGTGAATCCCATAACCAGAAGTAGTAGTAATATTACTATGGTTACTACATGCCAAATCAGGGCTAGTAGCCTATTGTTTTACCTGGTGATCAATACCCTTCAGTAAATCAGCATACTGAGGAGGAAAAGCAGGCAAATCAGAACAACTCTTAACAGTAATAGAGAAATCAGGCTCAACCAGGATTTAACTAACAATTCTAGCAAATGCTGCCCATGATGCCACCTCCTTACATGCATCCAGCTTACTATCAACATGGCATGATGCCACCTCCCCCTCCTTTCCCCATGCATCCTCATCACCAGCATATGTTCGCTGCTCCCCCTCAACCCCAATTCTTAGATCAGAGATGCTTCAATCTTGTTAAAGCTAAGAAAAGTGTTAAGAGACTCGGTACATGCCAAATAGTCTCACACTTTATTCTTGTATTGATTAACGGAATTTCAATCTTGTGCAATCTGTACTTCTTATTTACCCTCGGAGCATGGTCAAAGATGATTATTCATGATAAATCTGGCAAAAGCCACACTGTCTAAATTGAGGAGTCAGGATTAGTTATCATGACTCTCATTACAATAGCCATGCAAGCCTTGCTTTTGAAATGGGGACTAGTTGGCTTTAAAACTTTTAAACCAATTGTTAAAGATCTTAAGAAATAGGAACTTGATGGCATGCTCTCTACTCAGAGCCATGACAGTGTTGAGCCAGTCGTCAAGAGATCCAAACAAATCAAGAAATTCAAAAAGATCTCAACTAAGGTCTTTATTGGAACTTTAGTCTTAATTTTCTTGTCATCACTCTACACAAGATTCTTCTTCCAAAGTACTGCCGATACATTCCTCGATGCCTACTACGGGGAGAATAACCAAACCTAAGATGGAATAAACTCCAAACAAAAAGACTAGCTATTCAAGAATTCTTTCAAACTCAAGGATACTCATGATGGATTTAACTATGATTCATCATCTCAAGGCTTCAGCAACCCAGCATTCTTAGATTTCCCTCCTCCACTCCCAAGATCTTTCTTTGATAATTTTACCAGCAACGACTCTTAGAACTTTACAGACTTCATAAACGGATTCCCATCAGATTTCAATAACTTGACATTCTTTGAGAGAGCTCCTCATCATTAAGGCTTCATGAGATTCAATCAAAGTACCTTCAATGATTCCATGCTTCAACCTGGTTTCTTCGGTCAATTAATGAACCAGTCTTTTGACTTCTTGAATCAAACTATTTAGCAATTAAATTCTACCTTTTCCGGCTTTGGGTAGAACTTCTCTCACCCACCTCCACAACATAGGCAATTCAAAAATTAGTCCTAGAGAAATGAGGGAAATCAAACCTATTTCAGACGTCCATTCGGAGGAATCGATTATAGACCAGAAAATGATCAGAGAGAGTTCAGAAACAATCAAAGTTTCAGTCATGGATAGAAAAGAGAAGAAACAAGAGACCAACGAGGAGAAGATAGAAACAGAAGATGGGGAGGAAGTAACTTCGATCAGGAAGAAGAAGAAGATTGGGAAAATATCAGAGGAAGTAGCAAAGATAGCAACAGAAAACACAGACCCCACCACAAAAAAGGCGAATTCGATGTTGACTTCAACTTTGATGAAATGAGTAAGGATGAGGCTAAGCAAGCTGTGACTTAAATAATTAATTGGGTCGCTCTAGCTTCATTCATTTGGTCAGTAGTAGTCCTTGCATGTGTCGGAGGATGCTGCCTATTAGCTATCAACAAGGCTAAGAGAAGTCAAAAATTGAGAGAAGCGTACCTTTAGTAACAATAACCTTCAAACAGTGGAATTCAAGTTGGCCTTGCACAGCCTAATTCAAATGGATTCTAAAAAGTCCCAACTGATGAAAGTGACCTTTCCTCTAATAACAATGTTATTCCAAGAGGAGTAGTCGTTAATTCTCTCCACTGAGAAGCTGACTCACTCACTGATATTAACCTAAGTAATTCTAGATAACCTAATATTAAATGAAAATTCTGAATCCTTCTATGGATTTAATAAAACTTTGTTTCAATATTAATTCAATATATTTTTAGAATTTTAATGATACAATGATTCGATTGCACGGGGTTTTGGGGTTTTGGGGTTTTGGGG